ATAGTACAGCCGATCGGCTATACCCTAATTTTTTTAAAATAGTATAGCCGATCGGCTATACTCGGTTTTTTAAAATATTCTGATGAATCGGACTCGAACTCATCACTACGAACGTCTAGGGCACAGAGCAAGCCCGTTCCAGGTTTTGAGCAGTGTTCGAAATATCGGCCTAGGCGCTAGGCGGGAGGACACCGACACCAGGGAGTTCGGGGGGGCTAGGCGGCCTGGGCTGTTCTAGGAGGCTCCTAGGCGGCCTAGGCGGTTCTAGGCGGTGCTAGGCGGCCTGGGCAGTTCTAGGCGGCCTGGGATGTTCTAAGCGGTTCCTAGGCAGCCTGGGCTGTTCTAGGCGGCTCCTAGGCTGCCTGGGCGGTTCTAGGCGCCTCCTAGGCTACCTGGGCGGTTCTAGGCGGCCTGGGTGGATCTAGGCGACGCCTAAGGGGCCTGGGCAGATCTAGGCGGCCTGGGCGGGTCTGAGCTCCAAGGCGGGTCGTGTCCTTTTTTCTCCAAATGAAGACAGACGAAGCTTGCTAGTGCGAAGGAGGAAAGGTGACATAAAATAAGGAAAGGCATAAGAAATGAGGGGTTTGTTTCGTGTGGAGTGAAAGGAAGAGATAGAAAACTGTGTTTCTGTTGTTGAGAGAGTGAGAATTGGGAGACAAATGAAGAGGGAATGAGAGATTTATAATTCCTGGTGGTCTTGGTTGGGGTAAAGAAAAGGAAAAGATAAATTAGTCGTCAACACGCATGCAGGGAGAGGTCGGTTAGTGGAGGAGGCGCATTGGCATTGCTCACCAATGCCTTTCTGCTTTATTGATTTCTTTCTAGTACTAGAAGCCTAATGTTACTGTCTAATAAAGTCACATAGAAAATCCTTACATCTTCTGCTCTGCAACTACTTTTTTATTTATTTAAATATTTTGACTGTACAAGTGGCATAGCACTGTAGGGGAAGACACCTTCAACAATAATTAGTGTGGTATTCTGTAGCAATCCTCTTCAGGAATGTTTTCAAAATTTAGAGAGAATACAAGCTAATTTCACAGGGAGGAGAAGCCACAGAAAAGCGTAACGCAGTGATGACTTTGATTGCACGCTATGCTTAATATGAACCTGTCACAACTCCTTGTGGGCATGAAATCCTTGTGGGCATTTCATGCCTATTTCAGTCAATGGATCGAGGTGAGTGTTTTGCTGTTACTGATCCTATTTAATTGAGTTAGTCTATATCTTCTAATCCCTTTTTAGTCCTTGACTTGTGTTAAATTTTCCTAGGTAACAAATGTCCTTTGTGCCCAACAGTTCTTTTCATTAGTCCTATAACATGTGCTTATAATAATTGAATGAGATGCTTGTATTATTTGACATCAGAATTATTGCTTTATGGTTTTCTATACCTGTGCTGTTTGTAATGGGCATGGCTGCGCATCCCCCAGGAGTTCCACCTATTATAGATTGAGTCTGGCATTCTCACTTTTACAGAGTATAACAATTAGTGGATTTGTGGTTCTAGATTTTGTCAGCATGATATGTGCTTTTCCATCATCCATTCAAACGAATATACTGTGAAAATTTTCTATTTATAGAGCATAGCCGATCGGCTATACTGCTACAATATTCTATTTGAAGGGTATAGCCGAGTGGCTGCACATTCAAATATTCTATTTATAGTGTAGCCGCGCGGCTATACCTTTATGGCAGCCTATTTAACGACGATATTCAAAGCGTATAGCCAAGCGGCTATACGATTTGAATATAATATTTAATCAGTATAGCCATTCGGCGGTACTATATTTCAATAATTAAATAATACAGCCGCGACCGTACTCTTCAAATATTGGCAGTGGCCATTTCCTCAGGTGATTAAAGCATGGAGGGAAGATTTTTCTGTATTTCTCGGACCTTCTCACGTTTGGATGCCTCCTCTTTTGCAGTCCTTCCTTTATCTAGCACATCAAAATGATTGTAATGCGACTAATAAATTCATAAAGTAAAAAACAAAAAGAAATTTTCAGTGGAAAAACAGATGCAACGATAACTCACCAGGTTTCTTTGTAGACCTCCCAGTTCCCCTTTCACCTGTACAACCATTGGCTGGCCATACTTTTGCAGAATGATTAGAACCACCATGGTCCTAGGAACAAAAACAAATGCAACAGCCAAAAAAAATTGAAGAATAAGTTTCTAAAACAATTAGTCCAAAATGAATAAGTTAAACACAATGTGAATTGATAATGTTACTGGTTCAAATGCATTCCTGGAAATTAATGAAGTCCTACCGGTGGGGATAACAGACAAGTCCAAATAAGGAAGTGATCACCTAAATGAGGGGTTTCTGTTGCTTTAGGATCAGCACTTGATAAAACTTGAGCTTCATCTCTTATCAATGCATGGGTTTTTCCTGGTTTACATAGAGTTGCAGCTTCAGAAGAGGAGTCTCTAGTATCACTACTTTTTCTTAAATGATCCATGCAAAGAACTTCAACATCCATTGCACTTTGAGCACTCTGGCCAAGTACTTCTCCAGCCTGTTGTAAGGTGTCACTGCCTGTCTTTTCCTCATCATGAAGTTGTTCTTCTTCATGCATCAAACTGTCCCGATGAATGAAGTAAGCAATTAAAATATAAGAAACCAATAAGTTCTGAAGTTAATGTGAACCAACAGTTTAGTTCAGCAGCAGCAGATCCAGCACGAGCATATGTAAAATCAATGATCCGTAGCAAAGAAATTAGATCGGTGATTACAAATTACATATACAGAAATGAAGTATCAGGTTAAGAATGCACATAATAGTGGAGTCAGTCAGCCACTCGAGGGCAACTAAGCACTAACAATTATGTACTTTTATTCTGACCTTGTTTTTATACATATGTATTATTATAGAATACATGTAAATGAGAATGTATTTTCCATGTCGCATCTTATTTTCTATTTCTCATTTCACATGATTGTGTTTGTGCTCATAGGCAGATACATTATTTCCAAATTGACAAAAGATAGGGTTCAAATTACATACCTCTCTGGAGTGCTTCAAATCTGCTTCATGATCTACTGAGCAGTTTTCAGGGGAAGTTTCTTCATAAGAACTGGTATTAGTACAAACAGAATTATTCAATTTGGTTATCAATGAGCAGCTATTTTCCACGTGCGGTGATTTCATTTGTATATTAGACTCATCCATATCCTTTTTTCTTTTATTCCTTCGGCAGAAAGTAATCAATTATTCAACTTGTTTCACGCAAGCTGAATCACCACCTAATTTATCTAACTTATTTCTAGAGAATGAATCAGTGTCTTCTAAGTTTGATGTATTCAATCTTGGCGAGCTACCATCACATCCAGAGCTGCTTTTTCTTTCAAATGCTGCTGCTGCTGATGATGATTTTTGTCTTACAAAATCAGCAATAATTACAGCGGAATTCATCACCAATTGAGAAACTAACCTCCCTCCAATATTATTATCATCAACCAATGCTCCAGCATTAGCATTTGAAGATGAACCTACTTTCTTGCCACTAGACTTATTTCCATATGCATCCCTTTGGGAAGGAACCTCATCAAGACTTGTCGGAACGGTTTTAATTGGTATTTGTCTTGTGCCGGACACTTCCATGTGTTTCTTTTCCTTATGGGGTTTATCTAGGCATTGGAGATGATACAACTGAAGGCATTTTCCACAGTGCTTCAGGTTACCCCCAACACAGCACACAAAACAACATGGCATACCTGCAAGAAAAAGAGGCAGGTAAGACAGAATATAGCAATGACCTTAAAAATAAATTATAGGTCTAAGTCAACTAAGAGAAGATCTTCATAGAAACCTAAATTAAAGAACCAAATCTAAATGCTCATCTCAACTAGATACGCTTTCAAGGGTCGGTTGAATAGGGCACATTCTGGTGGTATCTGGTAATCCCTTAAAACCTTTTTCTTTTCAGTATTTTTTTTCAAGAACAAAATTATTAGAGGAAAAATAGGGAAGGATGGATTATTAAATTATCTACATAAAGATGATTGACATACAACATATGTCCCTATGAAACAAACTACAAAAAGTGAACAGGTTCCAACTTTCTAAAATCTCCCCGCAGAATTTCTGTTGTAATTTTCTGAGGTACGCTTATCAATCAAATGAACTTGCAAGTCTGGTGGTTTGCTTAAAGAAGTATCATCGGGTGCAACAAAAAGTGAATTACGGCACTCATGTCCCTGTACAGGATCTGTTCTTGATTGCCGCTTTCGCTTATACGTTAGCAACACTTTGATTCCTGACATTTAAGCTTTCAAAAAGAAATCTTGCTGCACTTCCAAACACTTGGACCGCATTTTTCACATGAAATTTGTACTTATTCCACTATATGTTCAGTCTCATTTCAACACAGAAAAACCTGCAACTGTTACGAGGAATGCGGCAACACAATGATAGCTGAAGGGCAAAAGACGGATTTCGACTACTCTGAAATAGTGAATCACTATTACGAGGAATGCGGCAAACAAAAATTGTACTAACATTCTCCACCTAAAACACAGGCAGTGAGGTACAAGCATAAATGCCATTTGCATATTAAAGAATAAGCAAAGCAAGAGAAGCTAAACGCATGCCATTCACAGAACCTTGTTATTGGCAAGGCCATAGAAACTCCATGATAGGACAACTTCATCATTTCCTTCCACAGAAGACAGACACCAAATCAGCAAATTTTGTATTTTTTTCTTCTGCGCCATGTCGTCAGTGCGAAGAGAGAAGAATATAAGGCGCGAAACAGGGAGGGGAATGGAATTGGATGAATTACGAGTCACATGATCTCTTCTTCTATGGACCTCACTTGCGCTTCAGTCCTTCGGCTTCCCAATCTCAAGCTCAAATTTGCAGCTAAATTTTTTCAATTTCAGGTTTCAGACTTTCAGTCAATCGCAGTGTTTGAAAAGTCGGCCTAGGCGGTAGCTAGGCGGCTAGGCGGTGGCTAGGCGGGCGCTAGGCGGCTAGGCGGTCCCTAGGCTGCTAGGTAGTAGCTAGGCGGGCGCCTAGGCAGGTTGGGTCTTTTTTCGGCGCCGAACCCGGAGGACGAAGCAGTGACTGCGAGAGAAAGTTCCGTCCACTGCGAGTGCAAGCTTCGTGTTCGTTAGAATAATATTCAAGAGTATAGCCGAACGGCTGTACTTTTAAAATATTCGAATCTAATTAGAAAGTATAGCCGTCCGGCTGTACGTTTATAATTTCTATTTATACAGTCGTGCCTTGCGGCTATAATGGTAAAATATTGTATTTAAAGCTGATCGGCTATACTGTTAATATATTGTATTTATAGAGTATAGCCGTGCGGATGTACTGTTATAATATCTATTTGTGCATGTATTAAAATAAATAAAAGGTGTGATACTAATAATAGATTTTTCTGTATTTCTCGGACCTTCTCACGTTTGGATGCCTCCTCCTTTGCAGTCCTTCCTTTATCTAGCACATCAAAATGATTGTAATGCGACTAATAAATTCATAAAGTACAAAACAAAAAGAAATTTCCAGTGGAAAAACAGATGCAACAATAACTCACCAAGTTTCTTTGCAGACTTCCCAGTTTCCCTTTCACCAGTACAACCATTGGCTGGCTCTACTTTTGCAGAATGATTAGAACCACCATGATCCTGGAAACAAAAACAAATGCAACAGCCAAAAAAAATTGAAGAATAAGTTTCTAAAACAATTAGTCCAAATGAATAAAAGAGAAACTGATTGGTACTGTGGCATCCTCATACATCCGAAAACGGCTCTTCGCTTGTTTCATGTTCTTAGCAGCGATAGACTCTGCAATGTAGGCACCTTGCTTACTGGAAAGCAAGCCTTCATGAAATCTGAAACAACATAAGTGGAAAAAAAAATTGAAACAAGTCATAGAACCAAAATAAAAAATTAAGTACACTAATATATCCTAAACAAGATACGTAAATGGAGCATAGTTATCAGGAAAATTTAAATCTCCATCGATCCTGTTACAGCCCAAGAAAACTCAAAGATAAGCAAACAGATTACTGACATTTTTCCAAGACCCAAAAGATGCAAAAAGGGCCATCATATTACGCAGGAGCGTACGCAGGAGCATAGCCTAACAACAAATGATATACCTTATCTTTGCAATCATCTAGAACAAATGAACACATCTAGAATAGAGGAGAACGGGAAGATTCAGGAACATCAAGGTTACCAAAAAAGAACAGAATTCCATTTTATTTCTGTCTTTGACCTCTCTACTGTTTTTACATGTGAATTGGTTTTTTTAAACAAACTAAATACCGAAGGATTGAACCTTCAAAACGTACGTATTGCAATTTCCAAAACAAAAAAATAAACAAATGAATAAAGATCTAAATGTTCATGTCCACTTCTTGGGATTGGTATATTTTGGATTTTATAACTGTCAAAATTGTTTAGTAATCATAGCATTAGCACTGACAAGACCTTCTTATGGAGCCATTAGCCCCTCAGTCAGCTTTGAGAAGCAGTGTTTGCATCACATTGTACCTGGGATCAAGTTTCCACTGCCATCCCTGCAAAACATAACCAGTGATGAGATTTGTATAAGATCAGTTAATTGATGACACACCAATGATAATATAAATTGGAGCAAATTACCTCTCAGATTTGTATAAGATATCAGTAATTGTCTATTTCTGCTACTCATGGTAAACCTATTATATAATACAAAAAACTATCATATTTGTTTTTTCTGAGACAATTAAATTAAATTTATAAAGAGAAGAGAAAGGAGTAAAGGATATATGGCCAACAGAAAAAAGCAGAAAAACAAATAAAGAAAAGACAACTTAATAATCTACGTGTGCTTTAATTTAATGCTTTGTGCTTATAAATTTCACATGCCTATATTGCGAAGATTACAGAATTTCATAAGAGAATTTCCATGCCTTGGCTGCAATAGATAAAGGAAAAAGAAATTACCTCAAGAACCAAAGCGGTTACCATGACAGTACAGACATTGCCATCGACATTGACTCTATGACGCCTAACTGTCTCCGGTAACTGCTGCATACACTCAGCAGGATGGACCAGATCACCTTCTGGAGTACCCCAGAAATCGAATGCCTCCTCCACTTGCTGTAAAAAGAAGATTAGACTAAAATCAAATACATAATGTAGATAATTAAGGAGGGAAACTTGTAACAGAAGCTTCCTGAGTTCATAATATCATTGAGGAACTGCATTTTGTCTACAACCATAACACACACAGTGATGAATAAACGAAAAAAGGAGTGAATACTACACACACACACACACACACACACACACACATATATATATATATATCACATATTTCAATTGTGCTTGACAAAATTCAGGCTTTGAGACAAGAAAGTATTACCAGAGGACGGTGGATTGAAAATCATTCTAATATGAAATTCTTTCTTTGCATAATCTTAGCATAAAGGAGGAATTGAAAGGGCAAATATCAAACTTGCAACTTATTTAATAAGGAACACCCAAACAAGATGAGCGCAACGGATCTCCAGAACTGTTAAGGAAAAACTAATAAGGCAAAACCTTTGAAGGTGAATTACTTGCCCATTTTTATATTTTTTTTTGGATTTGTTATGTATTCAGACCACATTCAGGTATATCAACTGATATAATTCACAAACTTCAAGACACAACAAGATACTTAAAAGACTTAAACACAATTCAATCAAAATAGTCCAAAAGCATAAATGCATTGCAAGTAACATCAAAGGTATATATATGTTACCAGGTCCAGGAGCATCTTCAAAAGTGCGTGCGTCACAATGTGAGCAAGCGCAGATTGAATCCGATCATCACCTTCAAGATCATCGACACATTCCTCTTGTTCATAAGTTTCCACCAAAACAGCAGGATCTACAAATGGGGCAGCTTCCCTTGCAATCTCAAGCTCAAATTTGCAGCTAAATTTTTTCAATTTCGGGTTTCAGACTTTCAGTCAATCGCAGTGTTAGAAAAGTCGACCTAGGCGGTAGCTAGGCGGCTAGGCGGTCCCTAGACGGTGGCTAGGCGGCTAGGCGGTCCCTAGGCGGCTAGGTAGTAGCTAGGCGGTTTAGGCGGCTAGGGGGTGGCTAGGAGGCTAGGTAGTAGCTAGGCGGGCGCCTAGGAGGGTTGGGTCTTTTTTCGGTGCTGAACTCGGAGGAAGAAGCAGTGACTGCGAGAGAAAGTTCCGTTCTCTGCGAGTTCAAGCTTCGTGTTCGTTCGAATATATTTAAAGAGTATAGCCGATCGGCTCTACTTTTAAAATATTCGAATGTAATTTGGAAGTATAGCCGTGCGGCTGTACGGTTATAATTTCTATTTATTGAGTCGAGCCTTGCGGCTATAATGGAAACGTATCATACAAAAGAAGACGTAACATCCAAAGGAAACGTATCATACATGGTCATTTCAGAATCCTCATGGTGGTTTTGGATTATTAAGCATATCTTATTACATGGGCTTCTTCTTGTTCTAGCAATAGTGTGCAGATAATATTGCAGAAGCCTCAGGAATATGATTTGATGTGATAGAAATAGACCAGCTTGACCAAATGAGAATACAGTATGCTGATTATTTGCTAATATGCTTTACATTTTACTTGTTTGGCAGATTGGGGACCGAAGGTTGATGTTGTTGTTTTTTGTTTTCTTGACCTTGCTTCAAATTATGAACCCCCAGATTCACTTGCGGAGTGGCTTGAAGCTGGTGAAAAGCCAGCCCATATTGGATTTGATAGCCTTGTGAGTTTGTTGCAGCTTTCTCTATTCATGTTTAATATTATTTTCCCAGTTCTATCCCAGAGTAGCTTTGTTTGTCCTTACCCTAGAAAAATTACTTGTTCCTTCCCAATTAAAACAATCAACCAAAGCCACAATCTCCAAAGAGTGACCACCTTCATGTTGGTCCCCAACGAACAGGTTGTGGAGGTCTATTCATGACAGATGACAAATCGACCCTTTGGTTGTTCGTCGTTCAATATCTAATTTGACTGAGGCATGTCTAATACATGCAGAGTATACCTCTGAATTGCATAGTTAAGGTTACTTGATTGTGCATTTGATTGAAATGCTAAATTGTCTTGCTTGCTAAATTTTTTTTATCTGTATTGTATTAGCCTCTTGAAGAACCAGAGAACATGACCAATATTATTCTTCAAGCTCTGGAAATAACTGGACAGAGAGGCGTCATCAACCGAGGCTGGGGTGGCCTTGGTAATTGTAAGTCTTGATTCTTAAAAAAAGATTACTTTCAAGCACATTGTATTCTTATGCTTCTTTACATCTGAAAGCCTTCATATATTTCTCTTCTCAGTGGCATAACCAAGTGATTCTGTGTATGTAGTGGACAATTGCCCCCATGATTGGCTATTCCAACCCTTTTAATTCTTTTTAATTTGGTTGGGATTTCACTGTATTGGTGTTCAGAACGTCACATGAACTTGATGCACCTTTTTGTTGTTTTGTTGTTTTGTTCCCCTATTGGATAACTAGGCTACTCCTGGTTTCTCACTGGATTTGAAAATATTTCTTAGGTGCATCATGGGGTTGCTGGGACAACTGCTGCTGGTCTGAAAGCTGCGGTAACCAATAATGCTATATTCTTGGGGAGTCTTACATTTGTAAATGATCCAGTTACTCATTTTTGGCTCATATTCTCTGTTCTTTTTAGTGTCCAACCACAATTGTACCATTCTTTGGGGACCAGCCATTTTGGGGGCAGAGGGTGCATGCCATAGGAGTAGGTCCTGCACCCATTCCAGCTTATACACCTCAAGAGCTTAATCATATGCTGTTCAGATACCCATCTTCTTCAACACTCTGCAGAGTAAGATTAACACAATCACATGATGCCTAAGAAATTTGTAATCAGAGTTGTTCCAGAGTCGGTTTCTTATTCACCCTCTATTCCGTATGAAGTCTGAGATCCAAAAGGGTTATTTTATTTTTGTATTCTCCGTTGTTGTAGTTTAAAATGAAAACAGAACATTCACTTCAACATCTACTCTCTCCAGATAAGACACGGGGCAACATAAATTATGTAACTAACCTCAATGAAACAGCACAAAGAAGCTAACCAAGACAAAAATTTATATAGCACACATATTCCAGTTGGTTGGTCAATCGTTTATTACATATTCACTACTTCCACCTTTTTCCAGTTAGAAACTAAGATTCTGTTAAACTTTTATACACAAGGAAACTCTTATCATGGATAAAAACTAATAATTTAAAGCCTGTTGCAAAATACCACCCAATAAGAGAGTTCAAGGAAATAGTATAGCCGATCGGCTATACTTCTTTTTAGAGAATCGTATAGCCGGGCGGCTATACTCGGGTTTTTAACATTTTAAAAAAATAGTATAGCCGACTGGCTATACCTTGCTTTCCCAATTTTTAAAACGAAATAGCCGCACGGCTATATGCTGCAAATATTTTCGAATATTTTATTAGTACAGCCGCACGGCTATACTCAATTTTTTTTAAAAAAAAAAACCAGTGGCAATACATAGATTCTACGAACTTTGGGCTGAATTAACAATACAATCAAAGTCACTTGAGGCGCTTTAGTTACAATTTTTACCTCGAAAGTTAAGTTACATAAACGACAACACATACATAATCTAAATCTGAACAAAATCTCAGTTGCCAAGAGACTTCGACAGTAAGAAAATCAGAATATAAACTTCAAGGGGTAAAAGACTTATATATAAGAACTCATTCTGATTCTCAACAGGAAAAGAGAAAATCGAACCCAAAATTAAAACAATAAGTTTAATAGGGGGTTTACATGGTATCAAAGTTTCTTACCATCTTCTTTTTTTTTTTTTTTTTTTTTTTTTTTTTTTTTTTTAATGATTTTTTTGAAAGATTTTTTTTTTTTTTTTGAATAAAAAAGACAAAAAAAAATTTCAAAAAAAAAAAAAAAAGTTAACTTGTATAATATATTAATGACATTGTTTTAAGTGTAAGGAGAATGATACATGTCAAGCAAAAAAGGGAGAATGTTGCTAACATTCTTCTAAAAATAATAGGATTACAATAATTATTGTAGTTGATGGCACAGATATCCAATAAGCTACAATAGAGAAATACAAACATATATAGTTTTGTTTCTCACAGCAACATTCAACTGGTGGGGAGGCAATAGCATTAGCCCCATCTTACTGGTCAGAATATTTTAATAGTCGCTCGTGACTTGTTTTTCAGCGATTTTACACCTTTCTTGGACTTGATCAAGTCTTTTTTTTTTCTCTCTCAGCGATTTTACACCTGTGCATTTGCAGCTTCTAATTTGTGACTTAAGTCCTTGATTTCAACCTTCATCGATGATATTTCAGCATCATAACTATCTACTTTCAAGGTGATATTCCAGTTGGTTGGTCAACTGCATTAGAAAAACTTAGCCTTCAAGTTCAACACAAACAAATATCAATAAAGAGAGTAACAGATTTGAGTTCATGACCTACAAGAGATAGATCAAAGACAACAGTGAGTCACCGACCTGAATTTCGTTAATTCTCTGTAGATCATGTTCGTTGTTCAACGGCTGTACAAGCATTCTCTATCTGAAAATAGACAAAAATTGTACTAACATTCTCCACCTAAAACACAGGCAGTGAGGTACAAGCATAAATGCCATTTGCATATTAAAGAATAAGCAAAGCAAGAGAAGCTAAACGCATGCCATTCACAGAAATGTTTAAACTTCAGAATCAATTTGAATTCAAGTAGCCTAACGCATGCCATTCACAGAACCTTGTTATTGGCAAGACCATAGAAACTCCATGATAGGACAACTTCTTCATCATTTCCATCCACAGAGGACAGACACCAAGTCAGCAAGTTTTGTATTTTTTTCTTCTGAACCATGTCGTCAGTGCAAAGAGAGAAGAATATAAGGTGCGAAACAGGGAGAGGAATGGAAATTGGAATTAGATGAATTAAGAGTCTCATGATCTCTTCTTCTATGGACCTGACTTGTGCTTCACTGCTTCGGCTTCCCAATCTCAAATTTGCAGCTAAGTTTTTTCAAATTCGGGTTTTAGACTTCCAGTCAATCGCAGTGTTCGAAAAGTCGAACTAGGCGGGCGGCTAGGCGGCTAGGCTGGAGCTAGGCTGCTAGGCTGCTAGGCTGGCGCTAGGCGGGCGCTAGGCGGCTAGGCGGTGGCTAGGCGGGCGCTAGGCGGCTAGGCGGTCGCTAGGCGGGCGCTAGGCGGTTTAGGCGGCTAGGTGGTGGCTAGGAGGCTAGGTAGTAGCTAGGCGGGCGCCTAGGCGGGTTGGGTCTTTTTCGGTGCTGAACTCGGAGGAAGAAGCAGTGACTGCGAGAGAAAGTTCCGTCCTCTGCGAGTTCAAGCTTCGTGTTCGTTTGAATATATTTAAAGAGTATAGCCGATCGGCTCTACTTTTAAAATATTCGAATGTAATTTGAAAGTATAGCCGTGCGGCTTTACGGTTATAATTTCTATTTATTGAGTCGAGCCTTGCGGCTATAATGGAAACGTATCATACAAAAGAAGACGTATCATACAAAGGAAACGTATCATACATGGTCATTTCAGAATCCTCATGGTGGTTTTGGATTATTAAGCATATCTTATTACATGGGCTTCTTCTTGTTCTAGCAATAGTGTGCTGATAATATTGCAGAAGCCTCAGGAATATGATTTGATGTGATAGAAATAGACCAGTTCAAGGAGCCTATGACTGTTTTCAGCATCATAACTATCTACTTTCAATTTGGCAGTCTGCAAAGAATGTGTGA